ATTTATTGGAGAAAAAAAATGGTGAGTAGGACTGGGGGTGGGGACTAGGAGTCGCTCCTGAGAGGCAGGAGGGTTCTGAATGGGTTGCCTTCACTGCACGCTTTTACAGCATGGCCTCCCGCCTGGCAGGAGAGTGGGGCCTGAGGCAGCACGTGGGGAGCTCCTGCGCACTTGGAGGTCCTGGGCCTACTCTCCTGGCTGTAGTCTGTCTCTCTTCCTTTGTTCTGTCCAGACCCACATTCAGTGCGTGCTACGGTGCAGAACTTTTACCAGGGTCTCACTTGGGTCTTTTTATATTGCTTGTTTGCTTTTAAGTGTTGTAACTATTTTTCAAAGAACAATTTTAAAATTTGATGAAGTTACCAGTTTTTAAAATATTTTGTGGGGATGGGAGGCATCCTGCCTAGGATAGTGTTAGCCTAACCCAGTGCTACAAAGATTTTTCTTTTACATCCTAAACTCTAACATGTTTCAGGTAAGTTTTTTAAATGTTAGAAGGTGTGAATTTGGGTCCAGTTTTCTCTCTTGCTTAGGGATCACTGGCTACTGCAGCACTGTGTAATGAATCCTCTCTTCATCTAATAACCTTGGTTTTGAGATGTATATAAGTGAGTCACTGTGCTGCTCCATGATCTGTCCATCTCATAAATGACACATGACCTTGATGGCTGCAACTTTATAGAAAGTCTTGAAAGTCAGGTAGTATGAGACCTCTAACTTTGGTTTTGGTCACTGTTAACAGTTTACTTTTGGGTTTACTTTTTGTGCTGCATGTTGTATGGCCTTTAGCGAATTGTACAGCGCATAGAGCCCCCAGTTTAGTGTCATCCAAAAGTTTCCAAGTTCTGAAGATCACCTATACTCTGCCTTCTACTCTCCTCTCCCTTTCCTGTGCCCTGGCAGCTACTTTGCTCTTCCTGACCTGGAGGACAGGTTTCCACCATGTCCCCAGGAGCACTGACACCTTGCCTTTGCCACTATGAAAGGTCTCCTTTCTTTCCTCCTCAGACAGACTGACTTGACCTCGCTGTGTTGAGGCAGTACATCTCCAGCTGCGCCGACAGGCCAGTGAGTTTGCCTCTTCCCACAGTAATTTCAAGCTTTCGTTTCTTAGACAGGCCTGGGAGACAGGCAGTGCTCAGTGGCCAAACATGTGCTGTTCAGGCTCCCAGCCCCAGCACCAAAAGAAATAGGAAGAATTCACAAGAATGTTGGCCAATTTCGCACCAGGTTGTACAGCAGCTCCTCTCTCCAGGGCTCTGCTTACAGCGAGAGGTGTGTGGCCATCTCTCTTTGGAGGGCTCTTGGAATAGTGTTTCCTAGGTTACCTTAGGCCCTCAATCTCTGACAAGACCAAGAAGAGATAGGAGTGGACTGTCTGGCTTTTTCTTGTTGGGATAGAAGATTGTTTTTCCCCACAATTTGTACACATTAAGATACTTAATAGAAACATAAAACTGGTAGATTTTGATTCAGAAGTGGTTTTATTACTGATTCTCAATTTCTGTCATCTTTGAGAATTCACTGTTTTCTTGGAAAGTAAGAATGAATGGTAATAACAATAACTATCAGATGTCAATAGAAGGCTGTTGGGGATTTCAGTGAAATAATGCATGCAAACGTATTTATAAACTAGAAATTACTATGGAATAATGACCATTGCTTTCTAAGATGTCATTTCTTTCTGTTTTCAGAAATGATCTTCAAGACATAGAAACAAGCCCAAGAGAGAATCGCCGCATACGAGCAGCTGAAAGTGCAGAGACTGAGCCAAGAAATAAGCGTAATAGGAATTAGGGGCCTTTTTCCAACTTTTTCATGCCATGATCAGAATATGATAGTTTCTTTGCTGAGTAACTGTAGATTTCATGTTTATAAGAGACCAAGGAAACATGTGGATTCTAAATGTTATAGTTAACTAATTCTCATTCTTTCTGGAAATTTTTTATCTTTCTGGAAAAGGAAAACGTTACATGTCACTGGATCAGTTGCCTCCTGCCTCTAAAACATTGACATCCACTGTTCACCAGCTTTGCTGGGTGGGAAGACGTTTTGCCAAGGGATTTGTTGTTTCTAAGTTTCAGGATATCCACAAGCCATTCTCCATTTCTTCTATGGAGAAACCAACTTCAGAAGAGGATTCTTTTCAGCCTCCGCATCGTAGTAAGTAGTCAAGTTAGGAATCTGTGTTCCTTCATCATTTGTGTCCCTCGGAGAGTGTGTGAACCTGAGGCCAAATGGCTGGGCGCATAATAGCAGTTCATGGTGGTGTCATCCAAGATCAAAGGAGTTGTTTGTTAGACTGTGTTTCACATACTGCTTGGAGTAGGATTCCAATTTAAAGTCATAAAGTTAGTGTTATAATTTTTTAAGTTAAAAAGTTAATATAATAAAGGTATAAAGTTAGTATTGCAGTTCTTGAAAGTTCAAAAGTTATTATTACAATTTTTTAAGGTAAAAATATTTAAAATCACAATCTCTTCAAAATAGTAAACATTTTCTTCTGAAGTAGCACTTAAAAATGACTACTTTTTTAAAGGATTTTTTTCAACTATTTTTTATTGATACGTTTTAAATATCCTTAATGATAACATTCAACATAGGGAATTTGTACCTCTGCATGATATATCTTGCTGCTTGTTTTTCTCCCCCATCAACTCCTCTTCCCCTCCATTTTCTTTTTTTCTCATCCCTTCCTTTCTCGCTCATCCCTCCTCTATGTTCCTTTTTTTTTTTTTTTTTTTTTTTTTTTTAATGGCACTGGGAATTGAACACACAGGCACTGTGCTGCTGAGCTATATCCTGGGCCCCCTGAAAAAATGACTACTTTTAGTGTTTTTTAACTTGAGCCAATGAGATCTCTACTACTATGAACCCCAACTATTAAAATATGCAATAAATGGATTTGTGAATGAATAGACTCTATGTTAAATTGAAATAATGTCCTCAAATAATGGAGTACAGGCTGGCTCTATAAACTGTGAATGCACTGATCAGAAATTGTTGTCTATGTGCAGAATGTCACCTTTTTCCTAGTGCTATGGCATTTCAGAGCTGGCCCAGCCCTCTGCCACCCACAACCCAAACATAGCAGTTTTTCAATAATGCGTAGGAATGCAACAAGATCAAAACATCAGATTCATGAAAGTGCCAGGGCAGGAACTGTGGTTTCGCCTTTCTAAAGAGTGTCTCTGTTGGCATACGCGTTTGGGTTTCTGATTGTGGAGTGTCATTAAGCTAACAGTTTTGCCTCTTAGCACTAAAATCTGCCCTCTTTTCATGAGTGCCCTGAGTTTCAAATGGTTAGAGAAGAATTTGTCATAGTCACTGTAGCTGCCTCGAGTCAAGTGGCACATTAGGGAAGCTGACAGCAGCAGCCCCCAAGTCTCTCAGTGGATCTGCAATCAGGTAAGTGAGCAGTATCAACACACAGGTGGGCGCAGGTGTGATGCTGACACCTCTGAGTTGCCAGAATCCATGCTACAGTGAAAACTGCTTGTTTAATTAAATATTACACAGCCCTCCATAAATTAACCTGGAAGTATTACTATTTTATCTGCAGCTAAAGGAGCTTTTCAAGGGCTAAGACCCAGGATTGGGACCAGGCACATGAATTCCTTAAGTAAATATTTGATAACCGACTTAGTGATATAACATTGCTATGCTGAGCATTGGAAAGCACAGAGGTAACCAAAGGCTCTCAGTGGGACAGGCAGGAAGAGTTTATACCTTAGAGGACATGCAAGCAACATGTAGAGATTTTTGCTCACTGGCAATGGGGTGCAAGGCTGGTACTAACACCAGAGGGAGAGGCTGCCAGCTGTTAGAATGTAGTCAGCCCCTTCGTGTGGGTCTGCTGGGACCATGTCACAGCATTCGACAGTAGGCATCTTCTACGCCTCTTCCCCTGGCTTGGAAACAGCTGCCCTCTCGCTGTATCCCAGCATGATCTTTCCTCTGTGTGGGCACAGATTAGCCCATAATATCCCACAGATGGCTCAGTAGAATAAGCGCTTGCGCAAGGGTTTGAGTTCAATCCTTGGTTCCGCCCAAAAAAAAGAATTAAACATTTCAAACTTAAGTGGTAACAAGACTGAGAAATCCCTATGCAAAAAACTCCCAATCTTTTTTTGAAAAATTTAGGTCTAATGGGCATTTATTGAGCTTTATGTGTTAGCACTGAGAATATGTTTGATATTCATACATTGAAAAGAAAGTATTTTATATAAGTTTCATAAAGATTAAGGAATTTAGCATGTTAGATTCAAAGTGAAAATGGATAGGCTTTTTTTTCTAAAATTCACATTTTAGTGAAAATCTAATCAACTAAACTTAAGAGTTGCTCATTGATTATCTTTTTTACCTGCCAATCTCCTTGGGGTATAACAACTGCCAGTGGTCTTAGCAACTCCAAATAGTTGTGTGAGTGGGTGCTGGTGAGCTGCTCTGAGTAAACTGGAAGAGGACACCCACATGGGTCTGATCTGTCAGGGGACCTTTCCCCCTCTAATCTCTTCTGTCACAACGAGAGCTCTGATCTAGTTTAAAGTACATATTATATCTGTAGGATCATAAAAAGTAATTCTGGCCTTTAGTAATCAAATAACATGGAAGAGATTTATATGTCAACAGAAGTAGACAAAAAGACCAGGCTTTATGGAGGATTTTCTTTTTTAATTTGCTTCTTGGCTCTGTATTAGAAGCTATTCAGACTGTGACAGTAATGCACTTAGCATGCTTGATCCCTAAATTTGAGATTCTTGGGATCGCTAGGGAAAAGGTGGAAACCATGGCTTTCTTCTGATAGAAGAAAATAACAATTCCTCAAAGGAGACACATTTTTGCCTATTATATGAGACTTTTTATTATAGAATAGTTAATGAACATTTGAGGGGAAAGTCATGACATTAAATTCATTACCTTTTTGATCATCTTTGGTTTTAGTCTTAGTGTTTTTCAGATGTCTTTAAGAATAATATCTAAGGGTATAAATAGGTCAAATTAGTATTAACACCCAAGTCACTGTCTTTATATTCCCTACCTCCAGTTATACCTTATTTACAGGGGACAGTTTCCAAACCCTTCCTTGATATTCCTGGGTATCCCCGGGCTGCAGACGATCCACAATTCAGATAGATGCAAGTCCATGCTTAAATATTTTGCTAGTCTCCTGACAGCTTCCTGCCTCCAGCCTGCCAGCCCACACATAGGCCAGTGCTGTATCATGTTCACCACAGCTGGCCAGCTAGAGAGCCCTGCCTTGCCTAGGACACAGTCTCCAGGCCAGTCCTAGGCACCAGCACAGCCCTGCCACCGTGTCTGTTGTCTACCCTCCCGGCCTTGCTCTGTTCCCAGTGGAAATGAGAGAGTGCTCTCCCGGCTGAAGTGTCTTGTTACTTGGATCAGTAGTGCCTTCATGAGAAATATAGGTCCTTTCCCTGCCTCTTCTCTTTCTCTGTTCTCTTTTCCCTCCCTCATTGCTCTTCTGCTATTAGCAAGACAGGTCAGCAAGTGGTATGCAAAACAAGGAAGCCCTCCTCTGGTGGAACTCCCATAGACCACGAGAGACAACACTAATTAGAAATTACACAAATCAACTTATTCTAAGTGCAGAAAGGAAAGGTGTGAGTCATTGCCAGGGCTTGTGACTTCTCTAGAACCACCTCCATACACATACACGCATGGCTTTCATTTGACACCGAAAGTTTTCCCAGTACATTATCCGTACTCCTGAATAGCTGAGAACAGTCCACGAGAGTATGTCCCACCTTGTGCAAAGTTAATTCTATTCTTGGACACTTCGGGTACTTGCAGTTTTTGTCCATTTATGAATAACTGTGAACAGAACATCATGATCATAATCTTCCCATGTATGTGAGTACTTCCTAAGGAATTACTAGAACATTAGATTTGCATAAAATATATGGCTAGGTTTTCAAAACAAGACAAAAGTTATAAACTCCAGGAAGTTTGTCCTGTGGGTTTTTAATAAATATGTAATAAGACGATTTGGGGCTCTTTGGTGGGAATTTCACAACAGATGCAAAAGCTTCTCATGGCTGCTTCTGTTAACTGTCAAAGCTGAAGATCCAACATTGGAGGGCACCAAATGAAGACAGTTCTACATAGTTCTGAGCACCTGCGACACTCTCCTCATCTCAAAACATGATACCCAACACCTACGGCTTAAAGGAAAAGTTTATTTTGGCTCACACTTGTAAAGGTTCACTCTGTAGCCAGCTGGTCACAGAGCAGAAGCTGTGCAGAGGCAGGCACTCGGGTAAAAGCTGTCGTGGTAGCCCAGAGTCAAGGGAGGCACCAAGAAAGCCTGAAATTCAGGGCCTGCATTCAGAATGGGGGAGATCCCATATCCTGTCCAGGGCTAGTTTTTGTTTTTGTTTTTCTAGCAAACTAAAAGTAATAATGAATTGTGAGGCAATGAGTAATGACTTTTAAGCTGTTTCAACCACTTTACTCTTCATGCAAGATAGTATATTAAGAGAGCTAGTCTTCCCTTGTTATGATGACAGCGTGCTGCTCAAGCAGAATGAGATGGACCCCGCAAGAAAGAATGAGATGCAAAAGGCAATGAAATGGGCTAAAACATAGGAAGAATTTAAGTAAATGTAGACCCTGGGGTAGGAAGGAATGGATTAAAACAAAATGAAAATGTTAGACAGTAGCTGGACATGGTGGTGCATGCCTATAATCCCAGCACTCTGGAGGCTCAGGCAGGAGGATCACCATGAGTTCTAAGCCAACTGGACTACATAATGGGTTTAAGGCCAGCCTGAACTGCTCTGTGAGATTCAGTCTCAAAACAAATAAATGGAAGTGCTAGATAATAAGGTAGGACTTGGGAAAGAGCAATTAGACTGTGAAGACATGCTGAGCCCTTGGTATTCTTTGGGAAGCATTGGCCTGCTGGATCCATTTAACATTCTAAAGCTAATCTTTAGTGAATACAAATAATGCAGTGTTTTTCAAGCTTGAAAATGGGATTAAGGAAAATGTATTAAACTATGGTGAGGCAGAAAAAAGGAGTAGGGAAAAAATAAAAGCAAAAGCATAGTTCATAGAAAACAAAATAAGTTCTAATATATCAGTAATGTACATAAAAATGATAAAACTCAATTCTTAGTAACGACTAACACTTATGATGTGTCTTGTGTGCCAGGACTACAGTAATCATAAACATAGGTCTTACAGGTAAGGAAACTAAGGCAAAAGTCAAGACATTTCTCCAATAATGTCCCACCACTATGTGTGAGAATGTCTCAGGGTTTTAGAAAGTGAGTAATCTGTATGCTGTTGGCAAGACACATAATCGCGTGGAAAACACAAAGTAGGAAAAGATGCCAGAGCTAATTAAATGTGCAATGATTATGACAAACTAGCCATATGTAGTCTTTTCATCTGCCATGAATTAGAAGAAACTTGTTCTGAGAGACTGGGACACAGATTAGCTTCTCCAAACATTTATAGCTCACATTAGCAGAATGGAGTAGAGCAAATGCCAAACAGAATGGTCAGTTTACCCCCATCTGAGATGTGAAGGGTGCAGGGGGCGTGGTGAGGGCTTCGGCTTGGTGCTCTGCCATTTCTCCCCTTTGTTGCCTTTCGTCTTGCTGTGGTCCCTTC